CTGGATGTATGTGATAACTGTCTTGTAGCTTTATATATAAATCAGTGCTCTTTGTGTTTAAATTTTTATATAGATTTTTCAAATAAAGCAGTTTTAGAGCTATGATTTTGATAGCCACATAATCTCAGTCTTCCTTTTTTTATTTAAATTTTTTTTTTTACAATATTGGGGATCAACCTCAAGGGTGCTTGACCACTAAGCTACAGCCCCAGCCTTTTTTTTTTTTTTTTTTTTTTGGTGGTGCTGGGAATTGAAACCAGGGCCTTGGGCTTTCGAGGCAAGCACTTTACCAATTGAGCTATATCCCCAGCACCTCCTAGCCTTCTAAAATTTTATTTTGAGATAGGGTCTTGTTAAGTTGCTTGGGCTGTCCTTGAATTTTTGATCTTCCTACCGCAGCCTAATGAGTAGCTGGGATTACTGGCGTGTGCCACCACACTGAGATTATTTTATATAACATAAAGATATTTTGGCAACATAAGTCTAAAGTGTATTTAAAATACCGTTTTTGTTTCCTAAGGAGGATGGTTTTGTGGTGTTTAGTGTAGGAGAGTAGACCTGTTTAGGGAGCATTTATATGGGAGCCACTACATTGATTTTCCAACAGCACCACACCAGACTTCTTGAGAAGTTTCAGTGTACATCTCAAAGTTTTTAATCTAGCAGTTATTGGTCTTTAAGGATGTAAAAAATTCACTCTAAAATCACAAGAAAAATTGTTTTGTCTTAAAACCTATATGGAAGAAATTCTACAAGTACTTTAACTTGTTCTAATATTTAAGCTTCCAAACTGATTGGAACTTTCTCTTTATATATTAACACAGAACTCTTTGTTGTAACTTAGCTATGAAAATCAAGGACAGGAGATCATCATGTCAATTTCACATTAATTAATGAATCCCTGCTTAATGTGAAGTCATTTTGAAAAGTTTCAAGCTGTATTGTTAAGGAGTTAGATTCAAAAGTTACTCAGTGTCTTGTTTTTTACCCCATATTCTTATGAAAAATAAATATACCTTTGTACAGTTGTTGTCCTTCTTTTACAGCCCAGTCAGATCAAAGATGTCATTCAGCCTAGCTGTCTTAATACTTTTGAGAGCAGATTTTCTTGGATGGGACCAGAAGTCTGTGGTCTGAGTGGCATTAGACAGCAGAACTAATTGCATCCAATAGGAAGGAAAAATGAGGAAATTAGGGGAGAAGAAAGGACAGACTGTTAGTGGAAGAAGAGGTGAAGACCAAGGAAGGATAGAAAGGAAATGGAGAGTAAAAGAAGCTGCTGTGTTGTCAGTGCTAATTTACCTCAGGTGCCACATGGTACATTCTAGACTAGCTAGCAAGCCCACAGAAAACAATAAAGGAGTGCACTGCATCTGTCTCATCAAGTACCCCTCAAATTTTTCTACCTAAGTACTTCTCACTGTAGAGGTGGTATAAATGTGTATCTCAGGAAACTAATGAAATGCGATTTTGAGATGTCTTTGAAGTCTTTTTATATTATGAATCCATGCAACTTTTACCTTGTGTTTAGATAATAGAACAGTATCCCACCCCTCCTGTGCATACAGTCTTTGAGGCTGGGGAAGATGTACTGTGTTTATCTAGTGGCTTCAAGAGCATCCCCCACCCTATGCTCCTGGGTTGCACATTCCAGTAGTGATGCAGAAGAACAGGTATAGCACATAGCTTTTGATGGTTAAGGCTACATTGTTGGTGGTACTTTAGACTTCTGCTGGATTTTCAAGGTGCCTTTATAAATTGTGTGAGCTGTTAATTACATAGCCCCATCTCAGCAATCCTTCACTGAGTTCTAATAAGGAAATTTATGAGCAGAAATTGAGGGTATGGTTCTAATCTGGAGTCCTTAGGATGTGTGGTTTGATCCTAAAAGCCATCTTATTAATTTCTCTGAGCTGACTGAGTCAGATGACCCTGTTCTCCCCAAACACATAAATACAATATTGTTTCTCTCCCAGAAGTCACCCTGCCCAAATGACTTCTTCATAAGTTTTTTCAGAAATTGCAAATAATTCATCTAAAGATTAAACACAGTTCTTTATATATGGTAATCAGACAATGAATGTTAGCTGCTGTTTTATTGTTGAAATTATCATTATCATTATGCATGCCCACTGTGAGGACAGAAACATCCATACATGGAAAGTAAGATTTGCTGGTGGCACTTTGAAAACAGATGGCTGATCAGTAACTTTGGATTTTGGGTTGTGAACGGGTAAAGCCTCTATCAAACTAAGAAATAGATACTAGTTGCCATACTGATAAAAGGAAGTGGAAAAACTAAAATTTGGGTGCAAAAGATTAACAACATGAACTGTAACACTGATTTTAGTTTCATATTATTTAACAGTGTGGCCAAAGTATAGTCTATGGGAGTAGTGCCTAGTATAGAGCCTGCTTTGTGCTACTTTCTGTGTGTTGGTTGAATGAGTTTGGTGGGTCGAGACCCTATTAAACAGGTTGATTATATATACACATGTGCCTGATGAAGCAATACATTTGAATTGTTATATAATGGTCAGTGAGAAGCCATATAGACTTTAAATGGGGAAATAATGTAATTGGTGGTCTGCTTTAGACTGGAAGGAAATGTGCTAAGGTTATATTTGATAACAAGACTATGGTAAATTCCTGTTTACTTTTCTAAAGTTTCTGAGAACACACCTTTCTAAAGTTTTTAAGAGCACACTTCTGAAGGTGATAATGATTCTATGTGGGGAGGTGCAAAGTGGGAGTACGGGCAGCTACTCTGAATCTGGGAGGGGCAGCATGTGTACTTTGAAAGAGAGCCCGCAAGAAGTTGTCCTTCTTGGGAAACACCACGTTAGGGAATTCTCAAGTATTAAAAACATAGAATTTAGAATTAAATGTAACCTAGAGGCCCTCAGATCTAACCCTCGAGTTATGGATGAGTTCACATGAATTCGTTAAGACTCAATCCAGGACTCCTGATTCCTAGTTCATTATTCTTTCTAAAGTATAATATATTAAATTTGTAGTGAAAATTATATAGGTGAGCCAAATGTTAGGAAGAACCTACATAGTTTAGTTTTCCCTTCTCCAAAGTCACTTTTCTAATAAGCCTGAAAGTTTTCATATTATTTTATTATACTTTTAAAAGCTGTACCACTTAGATATTTATTTATTTAGTTAATTGTAGTTGGACACAATATCTTTATTTTACTTATTTATTTTTATGTGGTGCTGAGGATCGAACCCAGGGCCTCCCACGTACTAGGAGAGTGCTCTATCGTTGAGCCCCAGCCCCAGCCCCCCACTTCTTAGATATTTATGTAGCTTAATAAGTATAATAATCAACCAGGCCAAAGACTAAATATCCCAGCCCAAAGACTAAAATATTTCCCTTTTTTCTCACTAGTCTTTTAAAAAGTACACACTTTTAAAATTAGAATTCTATTTTTGTATAGCTTTTTAAAAAAACCAATATATACATTTGCTTATATACCTAAATTAGCCTGTGAAGATATCATTTGAAATGGTTACATAGTAGCATTCTATGTTATAGATGTGCCATAATATTTATGATGAAACCTCTATTGCTAGATAGGTAGTACTTAACTTTTTCAAACAAGTACCTGTTTTATTAATTAAATTGGCTCTAAAAAGATTGGAGTCTTTCAGTTATTCTTACAATAGTTTGAATTGGTTAATATCTGTTTTCTTTTTACTAACTAGCTAAGCATAGCTAATTTTTATTAATGCTGAGACCAACTAGTTAAAGAATGGAGGATGTGATTTGGCACAAGGACTGTAGGAAGGAAGAGGCCGGGGAGAGCTGGTTGTGAAGTGTGTACTTCATGAACTGTTTGCAGCCCAGGAGGAGGGACGGGGAAGGAGCCTGTGAAATGGAGTAATTTCAGTACTTTGCATAGGAAGCTTTCCCCCATCCTTTTCCTGGTCTAAGAGACCTTCACTTCAAGACCTAAAGCCCAAGGTATTTTAATAGTTGTGTGGTTCTCTCACACAGTTGATGTGCTTAAGCATTGGTTGAAAGGCTGGACACCTAAATAGCACTTCCACTTAACACTTTCCAAGTTCCAATCTAACTGTTTATAATCGAACGTTATTGTTATGAGCAGTGGGCAACCCATAGTCAAATAAGATTAGATAAGATTTATTTTTAAGTTGAAATGGAAGGGCAGATATTGACAAATTTAGTCACTAATAGAATGTTATTAGCAAAGGACGGGACATGAAACATAACTCAAGGGCCACAAGCTTCAAAAGTGTTAAAATAAGGAGTTGTTGCTGATTTGTATAGAACCTTGAAAGATGACACTCATTACATTTCAGGAACTTGTGCTAGTGAGTGATGGCAGAACACAGATAAAATCGTGATTTATAAATATTCTGAAAGTTTTTACCTTAGCTAATATTTTCAGTTATATCTGTACTTCTGAGTTACAAAATGGGCGAATTGGTATTTCATGTGCTCCTTCTTTAGTTGGAAACAGTTGGGAGAGTGAAGATGAAAACTAGATCTTCATTCTATTGTGGTGTGACATTGGATAGGGCATTTCACCTTCTGGTTGCTAACCTATAAGTAAAAGAATAATTAATATTGCTTAGATAATTTTTGAAATTCCTTCCGAACATAAAGAGTCTTTGTTTCTTTTAAAACAAAAAGTGATTTGTGAGGTAGAATTGGCTATACTTTCTCAAATTTGAAGATTAAGCAAAATGCTGATCTGTTGGTTCCTGTAACTTTCAAGTATAGCATCTTGAAGGTGTCCCTCTATCAACTAAAGAACAAATGTCTCACTTTAATATATGACTGCATCAGAAAAAAAATGCAACCACAGTAGGTGACCAAAGGGATAAGTAACTTTCAGGAATTTTGAAAGCCCAGTAGTATTTAATGCTCTCTCAGCATTAAAAAGGTCACCTTGCTAATACATGTTAATTTTGAAAGTTTAATTGACCTTTGGAATTTTAATATCAACCTTTTTTGGTGTGTTTAGAGGTTGGAGCAATCACAGAAGAAACTGAAGCCTGTGATTGGTGGAGTTTGGGTGCTGTCCTCTTTGAACTTCTCACTGGCAAGGTAAGCAGTGACCTGGACATTTAATAAATTTATCCAGATGCCACCTTGATTTCAAATTGAGAACGTTAGCCTGTGCCTTTACTTTTCAGGTCAGGGACTAAGTAAGAAAAGCTTTGATGCCAAAAGCAAGCAGTGAAGTACAAATTTATCAAGATTCCAGATTTTTTAAAAATAAAATCTTATTACATTGAATAAACTGATGGCAAATTGTTATTATGTCTAATGTTACATAATAAGATTTAAGGCTAAACATTCCTTTCCTTCTTTTTCTATGATTCAACTTTAACAGAGTAAGATTTGTAATGTTTATACAATGTATTAGAATTCTCTAGAGGTAAACATCTTATCTGGACCTGGGAGGGAATTCTCATTTTTAGAAAATCAATGCAGATATAACAGGTAACATTATCTTTCTCAACATTATAAATTTTTCCTATATGTTTTCATATTAGGACAGACAGAATTTATATTCTCTGATAAGTAACTTTTAAGTATGATGCTTGAGGTTAATAGATTTTAGAATATTGTGCAAATTGCCTCCTGGGAAGAAAATAGATGAACAATTATGCTTTTGTAAGTAGCTGCCTTAAATATATGAACATCAAACTAAGTTTGTTATAGAGTTTACAAATCACCTCTACATATATTTAAGCTCCAAAGTGCTATATAGATGTATAATATTACTACTAGCAATTTCTAAAGTTTAAATGTTTTTTTAATTTTTTTTTAGTTGTAGTTGGACCTTTATTTTATTTATTTTTAATTGGTGCTGGGATCAAACCCAGCACCTCACACATTCTAGGCAAGTACTGTACCACTGAGCCACAATCCCACCCCTGAACTTAGTTTTTAAGAACATTAAAATATTTTGGAGATATCCAGTCCCTTTTTTAATGTTTTGTATGTAATATAAATTTTTCTATTATGAGTCATTAATTTTATAACTAAGGGAAAAGGGACAGGTGCATAAGCTTATAATGTGGTCATGATGACTCTGCCTTTGTTTCCATTAGAAGTTGTATAGTCTCACAGCCCTCAGCATGAACTGCTTAGGTGGCATTGTGTTGATTACTGTGCCTCCAGTTAAGATGGTTGTTGAGCTCTGTGTCCTTGCTGTCTGTAAATACTGTGATAGAACAGAATATGATGTTATCTAGGATAAGAAATGTACCTGATTGATTGTTTCAGACTTTGGTTGAGTGCCATCCAGCAGGAATAAATACCCACACTACTTTAAACATGCCAGAATGTGTCTCTGAAGAGGCTCGCTCACTCATTCAACAGGTAATTTAATTGACCTCTCGGTTAAGTCTATCAAGCATGCAGATTAGCAGAATCCACAAAAACAAAGCCTTAAAGAAATTAGTTTTGGGAAAGAAAGACTCATTTAGAATTATATACATTTAGAATTAACACTGTAGATTTTTATTTAGGCTTCTGCTACTATCAAAGTATTCACAGAGTCAGAAAAGATAGTTGAAACTTGTTGGTATTTTTTTCAAAAATCAAGGTTAATATTCAGTCAGTTTTATATAAGTATGAGATTTGAATATTGACTTTAGTTTAGATCTAGGGCTATTCTGGTTTTGCGATCATATTTTATAATGACATATAAATGGCTTTTTTCACTTTTTAATTCTTATTTATAAGCAGTAATGGACTATTGAAATTTCTTAGAAGTGTTTTAAAAATCTCAAAAAGTTAAATCACTCTACTAACTTCATCAATTAGGGGAAGTTGGGCATTGATGTCAATTAGTACAATTCTGGTGGCTTGAAAAAAGAGCCTATTAATAATTAAAGTTCATTATCCCAGAGGTGGGCTTGGAACTCTAGGAAGTTTCTTAAATTAATTCCCTATATTTAAAATACAAGTTGAGTATCCCTTGTCCAAAATGCTTGACCAGAAGTGTTTTTAAGATTTCAGACTTTTTGATTTTGGAATGTTTGCATAGGCTTTACTGATTGAGCATCCCTAATTTAAATGTCCAAAATTTGAAATGCTCCAAATCTGAAACTTGTTGAATGACAACACAATATTCAACAAATTTCAGATTTGGAGCATTTCAAATTTTTGGATTAGGGATACTCAACCTGTATATTTCTGTAGTCTTTAATAGTGAATTTTGCTGAATACACTGAGAGTTGCTGTAATTGTGGTTTGATAGGCTCACAGCATTCAGCAGGAATTGTCAGGCCTAGGTCCTATATTTTTAAACATAAAGAAAAAGATTACTTGAAAAAAGATCAGGATGCTCTTTTTTTAAAGTCAGGGAAAACAAAAAGAAAATTAAAAAGGGAAGGATATATTAAGAGAATTATCATGTATTCTTTTAAAGAGGGATTTTGGTCTCTTTGAACAAATATTATATGCAGGGCCCAGTGTTGTAAGCTACAAAGGTAAAATCATGAATAACAGTACCACACAATGGAATTTGATGATCTCAGAGAGGTTTAGAAAATACTTTGGCAAGTCAAGAGGAGAAGGGGTTATAGTCAATGTAGTGCTAGTATTACGAAAGTTTTTGTGGGATGGATTTTATTTTTGCTGGACCCTAGACAGAAATTTAGCAGGGCAAAGTTAGGTGTGGGGGGAATAGCGTAGGTGGAATGAACAGTTTGAACAAAAGACTCAGTTCAGGAAATCAAAAGTTTGGTTTATCTGGAGTGGAGAAATGAATGTAGAATAATAGTAGGTGAATGTAGGAAGATAAGTTGGGGTTTTCTTATGAGGTTCTATTATCATCAATACAAGTATAGAATAATATTATTCACTGAAAATTTGAGATTAGATGGCCAGCAAATATATGAACAAGTATTCAGCATCTTCAGCAATAAGGGAAATGCAAGTCAAAACTACACTGAGATGTTGTCTCACCCCAGGTAGAATGGCAGTCATCAAGAATACAAATAATAGTAAATGCTGGCGAGGACATGGGGAAAAGAAACATTTATACACTGCTGTTGGAATTGTAAATTAGTACAACTACAACCACTATGGAAATCAGTATGACAGTTCCTGAAAAGACGAGGAATGAAACCATCATATGGTATACCACTCCTTGGTTTTTATCCAAAAGAATGAAAGTCAACGTACCATAGCAATACAAGCACATCACAGTATCCAAGCTATGGAGCCAGCCTAGGTGCCTGTCAACAGATGAATGGATAGTGAAAACATGGACTTTTATTCAGAAGAGCAAAATTATGTCACTTGCAGAAAATGAATGGACTATGAAGCATTCTGTTAAGTGCAAACAGATTCAGAAAGCAAGGGTCTTTCTTTTTTCTTGTATGTAGAAGCTGGAGAGAAGAAGTGGGAAGAAAGTGAGGGAATCTAATGAAAATAGAAGGGAAACCAGTATAGTAGAAGAAGAGAACCAAAAGTAGGGAGGAGGGGAGGGAAAAGAGAAGTTCTGGGGAATGAAGTTGGCCACATCGTGTGTATATATAAATATATCCCAGTGAATCCCATTATTTTAAATAATGATAATGTACCAATATGAATTTTTTTAAAAGAAAGTTCAAGATTTAAGAAAAAAAATTTACAGTTATACATGGGCATAAGACCTTTATTTTATTTGTTTATTTTTATGTGGTGCTGAGAATTGAATCCATGCCTCACACGTGCAAGGCAAAAGCTATACCACTGAGCTACAACCCCAGCCCCATCAAAATTTTGAGCTCTTGTACAGAAAATGAAAGGATTGGAGTTGGACTTAGGAAAATTAATTTGCCCAGACTATGAGAATTAAAAAGAAACAATCAGGTTAGAAATACAGAGATGAGAATACCCAGAGCACTTTGGGTTAAGGATTAAGAAGCAGTGAAGAAATAATATAAAACATTTCATTGTTTTGGGGGAAAAATAGCTGATCTTTAGATTTTGTCTTATTTGTTGTGGCACAAGATAAATATAGAGTATTTGGGGGGTAAATATTTTAGGGAATACTAGCAACTACTACTTTATGTTTCTTTTCCTTAAAGTAGTAGTCATTATTATGTAATATTGGAAATAAAGTTCCTTACAGCGATATATCAAGTCCTATTGCATTCTTTATTAGAACTTACATTGTAAAGGAGTCTAGACTTAAGGTATGTTAAGTCCTCAGATATGCTTAGCTTATATAGTAAATCATCATTCTGTCATTGGCTTGTCTGAGGAAACTACCACTCATGTTGAGGAAACGTCATCAGGAAAAGGAAAAGGGGTCTCTTGGCATGATTAGCAATTTGTCATTTTGACTTTCCTCTTCCACTACCTCATGGATCATAAAGGTCATTTAAAAAAAACACAAAAATGATTTATAGGGAAATAATTATTCTGTTTGGGGGAAATTTTCTCCTCTTTGGTCTTTCAGCTCCTTGCTTTGTTCTTAGATTTCATAATCTCCTGTACTTATGGTTCACATCTGTCCAGGTCAAGTAAATGCTGCTAAAGCAAACAGTTGCTTTTTTAGATACAAGTTTAAAAAATCATCAGAGCATGTATGTTTGTGCTTTACAGAACACATTTAGTTCTTTCTGACACAGTTGCTTTGTCAGTTGAAAGATTATGTAAGAAAAAGACCTTCACAACAAATTTCTATGCCCTTATTGCTCAGCCTTCTTGCTTAATGTTTGGGGGAAAGGAGGTTGGTAGTGGCTATCTTGGTTTCATTATTTGAATTCTCCACAGGCACATATATTCTATTAAGGAATAGAAATTTGTGTAATCTCTCTTGAGGCTTTTATAGCATTTTAAATGGCAAAATAAGCAAGATTGTCATCGGGTAAGCAATTATACTTTTGTCGGTAGATTTATACTTTCAAATAGGTGGAGAAGTCCATATAAGTAAATTCAGTCTAGCAAAAGTCAAATATGAAGCTTTGGAATTTTACATTTGTAGTTACATTTTGGAAAGAGTCAAGTGGAAAGGCCAATTGAAGCAAATATCATGTGTATTTGTTTCTCGAAATATTATATGTATTCTTGAAATATAATAGTATAGCTATTGTTAATTCTTACCAATATTTGATATGTTAATTTTATGTTAAAAAGTATGATGCCTTTCACATTTAAATCAGTAGACAAGAATTGTCTGTAAAAATTTAATTTAATACACTTATGTTATTCCTATGGTTTTTTTTTAATATCAGCTTTCTAATACAACAACTTCGAATTCAAAAGTTCTTTGAGCAGTTAGCTTTAATAAACAGTAGTAGGGTCATTTGGGGTGCTAGACATAATAATGTCAAGTGAAAAGACTGTCAGTATAGTCTTTTGAAGTATATGCTTCTCTCCCCTGGTGGATTTGGTAATACAAAGTGAGTAATAGATTCTTGGCATTTTCTGATAACACATTCATGAGGCAGTATAATGTGATTAAGGCATAAATTTTGGAGTCAGAGTGCCTGAATTCAAATCCTTTGTTTGCTACTGGCTGCCCATATCTTTAGCAAGTTACTTAATTTCCCTGAGCCTCTGTTTTCTCGTCTATAAAAGAAATAATAATAGTAGCTATTTGTAGAGTTACAGTGTGTTAAATGAATTCACCTGTTAAGCACTTAGAACAATATCTGGCATGTGACAAGTGTTATGTGAATGTTTTTATTTTTGATAGGACAGAGTTGAAGATTCATGACATAACAAATTATGAATGAAATTATTGATGAACCACATGTTTGAATTACAGAGCCGCTAATGTAAGAGTGAAGCAATTGCTGATGATATAGGTGAAAAGATTTTAAAATGTAGTAGACTGGCACAGAATAGGGAATCAATTTATATTTATTATACAAATAATGGAATTAAAGAATGAATAAAAAATAGAAACAAAAGAAAAAAATAAAAGCTTTGTCTAACTGTGTTTTGATGGAATTTCCTGTATGTATAGCACCAGTAATATTGTAAAGAAATAATTTAAATATTTCAGTTAAACTTTGACTACATTCTGTGGAAAAATAAATTTTTGTCAGGGCAGTGAGTTTTTTATGGCTATGGCTACATGAAAGTTGGCAAATTCTCCCCCCCTAAAAAAAATATAAAAGTTGAAAGGAATTGGTAAAAACAGTCACTCAGTGATCTGGAAATTGATCAAAGGATACAGTAATCTGAAAAGTATTTATGTTTGAAAAATAGTTGAATTTTAGGAAAGAGGAGTGGAACTCTGGCATTCTTGACTCAATCTGTTCCATTCTCCCCTCCTTCTTTGGTCAGGTGCAGATTTCTGCCAGGGTGGGAGCAAGCCATGGGGACCAAACCCAGGGCTGCCTGAATGTGCATAGAAACAGGGAAAGGGCCCA